CTCTTCAATTTTAAGTCAAGCCTCATTCTACTCCACATTTAACACCATCTTAAGCAGTTGCTTTATTAAATATTATTCATTTTTTTCAAACTTTTTACAAGAACATCTCTCTTTAGAACAAATGTCCTTTTATTATTGCAAGCAGCCAATGTAAAAAGGTCCTCTCTGATGTTAAGCTTTGTTATTCTCAGTTTACTAAATCTTGTATCTTATCTCAGATGTTAGGTCCTAGAGACTTTTGGAAAATCTTCAACAGTGTCATAAACTAAAATAAGTGTAACATTACATCTTTAATTCATGAGTTCATGGGTCTTATTACTTTATCTCAAGAATAAGGGAGAGTTACTTGTAAAGAAATTTTCCTCTAACTTCACTCCTGAATCTAAAGGCTATACTCCTCCTGTCAGTTAAACAGATTAACCCAGTATTAAATATTCAAACCACTCTGGCTTCCAATGCTAAAGTTAATTCTCAATTAAACACTCCTTCAATTAGTACTCCAGACAAGATTTCCATCATATTCTTAAAATAATGTTCACTAGAATTCTCTTTAAATTTTGCTAAATTTTAAAAAACATTAAGTGGTTCCAATTTTTCAAAACTCTAGAAAACACTTTGACTATCCTAACTATCCTACGATTAATCTTTATTCTGTTATTTTTTTTTAGATAAAAGATTTGAAAATATTAATTTTTTCTTACTAACTGCAGTACTAAATTTATTCTTGAAGGCCTGCACTTTTCTTTATTTAAAATAAATTTGAGGGTAGCAAAAGGTTCTTGAGGTACCCTTAAAGTTATCCTTGATCTTTGCTCCTGTATTGTTTCTTATCTACAATAACAACCTTCATAAAAATTTTACATCTAAAGTGGCTTTATTTCCAGACCACTCAACTTTATACTCTCGCATTGACAAAAAATCTTCATTTTTTGATTCCTTAGAACAAGCAATCTAACTAAATCCGTAAGCCAATGCAAGCTTTAGGATTTTAAGTAGGCTTATGTATTTAAGTTCTAGACTCAAAATCCAAAATTATTGTTAGACAATAAAACTCATTTATTTACTGCAAGAAAATATTGAAATATTGTTGGTATTCCTATATTGACAAGTAACAACCCTCTTACTCTTAGACAAAGTCTAAAAGCACATTGTAAATGTAGTTAGACCTGCTTTATCTTCTAAGTTAAAGCCACTCCTATTGTTGTAATATTGCATTTGTTTCTTTTTTCTACAAATACTATCATGGTCAATGATAGTATTTGTAGAAAAAATTTTTGCTTATTTGTAGAAAAAACTTTGCTTCCTTTCACTTTATCTGTCCCTTCAAAAAATCTTATAACTCTTACCCATCTTCATGTTTTCTTTTTTTATACAATCAACAACGTTTCCTAGTATTTTAACTTTTTCTCTATTTTAAACTAACTCATGACTTAATATTGGTTGCTTGCAATCTTGTTGGAAGTAAGTTAAAAATATATAAATATATATCACTATTTAATAAATAGTAAATGTAAGTATAAAATTATAATATATAAAATATTATAAATTTTTTTTATAAATCCCAGGTATCAACCCTTGCTAAATCATATAATTTTGCGGTGGCTGGGTTTGCAAAAAGTCTTATTTTTAGCTAGAGACAGGGCTGGAGCCTGGTCACTTCCTAATTGAACATACATAAAAATTTTAAAATGTGCAAGTATATTGCACCACCTTTTACAATAATTTGTTGTGTAGGTGTTTACTTAAAAAAAAATTTTAAGTAAACATTCAATGTTTTGCAATGCAACAACTTCCTAATTCAGTATTTTTTATATAAACATCTTTAAAATTCTGGGTAAGACTCAACAATATTCTTATTATCTGTAGTAAATTGATGTTAGTTTCTTTGTATTATTAGCGCCAGATTGATTTTGTTAATTACTCATTTAAATATGAGTACTTCAACAAACATGTCACTTTTCTAATAATTTTACAAAAAATGACCCTTTATTAAAAAAGGAAAAATTACCATGAATTATTTTGTTTCATTTGCAATATTTTTATATCAATGAGCTATGGTGGCAAACCAAGCATGAGAGATCATGTTAAATCAGGTAATCACAGTTCCAGAATTGTCTGCATCTTTATCAACTGATATACCGTCTTTCAGATAATACGAAATACTTCAGAAGAAATTTAAAATGCATATAAAACTGTTAAACACTATCAAACATTCAGTTCATTAGACTGTACAACTAATTTTAATTTCATCATGTTTTCAGATTCCAAAATTGCATGCAAGCGATCTACTGCATGAACGAAAGCAACTGCTGTAATTAAAAATCTATTAGTACCTCACTCCATAGAGATAATTAAACAGGAATTACAAAAGGTTCCTTTTTATGGAATTCCTACAGATTAAAGTAATCACAAATACATGAAGATGTTTCCAATACTCACCCATTACTTCATGGAGTATGATGGCCTAAAAGTTAAACTCCTTGAGTTTAAAACCTCACCTAATGAAATTGCTAATACAATATCAGTGATTTGTAGAGATAGATTGAACAATTATAATTTTCCAGAAAAAGGCCTTAAACCATTTAGGACTGATAATAATGAAACTAATTTAAACGGGAAATTGCACTGTATCATAGAGTCATAGCAATTGTTTAAATGTAGTTCATGAATGATCAAGCACAGAAGTCATGCACAGAGGTTGCGAATTTGTTAATTTCATGTAAATATTTTTAAGCAAATAAATTGCTTGCGAGTATTTTAAGTGAAGTATTATACTTTTATGACTCATACTTAATATATTTTCTATGAGAAATAGCAGTCATCAATTATTTCTAGCTAAAGTAAGTAAAAATGTTGTTTATTTTCAATCAGTAGCAAAATTATTATGCAAAAAAAAAAAAAAAAAAAGGTCAAAATATATATATTTATTCAGGTAGCCTAAAATGTGATAACAATATTTTTTTGTTATAAATTTTTTTAAAGAAAATCATAATAGTATAATTGCTATAAGTCCCAGCTTTTAATTTCTAAAATAAAGAAAAATAAAAAAGAACTCATTGAAATAGAAATGGCTTATAGAATTTTATCACAAAATCATAAGCTATATAACGTTTATTTATATACTTATGCTCACTTTTGTTTTTAATATAGTATCATACATTTTTTAGTTTAGTTTTATATAACACTACTGAACTATTTACATTAAGATGATATTTCAAATTTGTTTTCTCTGAATGGCTAGGGTAAAACTTTAACAGCCATCTAAATATTTTATATTTTATTTTTGTTTGCTCCTTTACTTTATAATTAAATTTTTATATTTCATATAACTAAAGTTTACTTTATAATATTTTAGATAAAATAATAAGTCTAAAATAAATTAATATGCCTTGTGAACATCAATGCAAGACTGTTGGTACATATGAACAAATGGTTGTACTATTTCATAAGATTAAAAGAGAAAGATAATCTATTGATTATAATGCATTAGTTCAAACTCAGTGGACAGCTGAGCACAAGTCACTGTCTTTTGACACAGTCAAATGTATTATTCAATGTGTTTAAATTTTATAATGTCATGTAGTGAGTTCTAAAATTATGAAAAAAAGCTGCTAAAAAAAATCATAACATCTTAAAAATATGATTGGATATTTTTAATAATAAAGCTATAATTATTGATAGATGTTTACTTGAACAAGTTGTTGTTTGTTGTTTTTTATTTGTTTGTTGCTGCTGTTGTTTTTTTGTTTTTTGTTGTTGTTGTTGTTTTGGCGGTGGTAGTGGGGGATGGGGGGGTAGGGGTGGTCAGTAGTTTGACATTTATGGCAACCCTAGAGGATTTGTGATAATGCCAAAATTTTATTATAAAAACCAAATGATGCAACATGGTCTGTTTTGCCAGATCAACTTTAAATCTTTGGCACTCTTCAAGGTTTATTAGCATCTTTCACAGGAGTGGGAAATGTGGGATTAAATTGTGTTCTTTTAATTTCTGTTCCAAATTAACAAATGGTGACAACAATGAACAACCATCTTGAGCAAGTTCACAAAATTTTCTTTTCTTCTGAGATGGTACAATAATTTTTTCTTTTTTTTTTTTCTGCTTTTTTTTTTTTTTTTTTTTTTGAATATGTTTTCAGAAAGAAAGGAAAGATCTGATTCAACACAATTTTTTTATTCTCATTTTTTTTTTATACAATTGATTTTCGACCTTTTCAAGTTCAAAGTGCACGTTTTGTGAGTCTGTTTAAAAGCCTTTAATAAGATTAAAATTTGCTAATTTCTGTTCGAGTATCAAGATAAGAACAGTAACTTGATAATTAAAATAAACTTTTCTTGCTTTTTTACTTGAATTTGAAAACAAAACAAGTTATATTTATATAGCAAATTGAACAATCATAAATCAAGTAAAGTTGTGAAACAAAATGTGACTTTTAAAAGTAACTAAACCAATTTAGCATTGTCAAACACATTACAATTTAGCATTTTCATGTAGTCTAAACATTAATAAATGTGGTGTTTAATTACAATAAATCTAAACTTTACTTGTAGTTTTGTACAATGGCACAAATACGGCAAACAAAAATTACTTATTATTAGTAATAAAAACTATTTAAATAACTACTGAAAATTACACTTACTGCATAGATCAATATAAGATATTCTTTGAAATTTTTATATTTATACATAATGATATAACTAAAATTTCTCACACAAGCTAAGGCTCAAATTGTCAATATAAAAGTATGAACAAATTATGGCTTAGGTTGTAATAGAAATTGTAGTTATATTGTTATGCATATATATAAAAATTTCAACGAATATGTTATTCTTATATAATTATTACATATATATATATATATATATATATATATATATATATATATATATATATATATATATATATATATATATATATATATATATATATATATATATATATATATATATATATATATATATATATATCATTTTTGACAAAATTGTTATACAAGATTTACCTTTTGATATTCCACTTTTATTTTTTGTGATTTTTTCTCTGTATTTTTTCTAAACTTCTTTTCTTTTCCAAAATTTTCGTTTTTTGATAGTAAATCTTTTCGCTTCATATCATTTATTCTAAAATAATACATTTTAATTTAAGTGACTTTTAAATCAATACTTGTTTAAAAAAAAAATTTCTAAATAGTATTAGCACTAAAAAAATTGTTCTTCTCAGTTAGATATAATAATTTTTTATTATATCATATAATTTCTATGATATAAAAATAAATTAATTTTATATTATAAAATATATTCTATATTCTTTAAGTTTATTTAACTTTATAAAAATGTGTTGTAACGTTTAATGTAAAATTGTTTTAAATACAAAAATGTGTTTTTGACTATAATTCAAAATAAAATTAACATAGAATACAACTTGTATGTATGTAAATGTATAATGATATATTTTATAAATTGTATAATGATAATGTTAATGCACTTTATTTCTTTTCAATTATAACCCATATTACTTGTTAAGAAATAAAAAATTTTGTGTTTCATTTAAACAGTTAAATGTGAGTAAGCTATTCACGCATGGACTGAGACTTAAGCATGAGAGGGCTTACCATAAAAGACCCCTACTTATTAGATTTTTATGAATATGATCATCATCATTTCAGCATCTTTTTTTTCGCGCCTACACGGGTATAACGCTAACTAACAAATAACATAGTTAAAGTAAGTTTCCACTCATCGGTTTTTCTTCAGGAACGGGATAGCATAGGAAAAAGTAATCATGCCCACGCACAGTGGTCCAAAAAACTTGATTTTTGGACTTAAAAAACTTGATATATAGTAATAGTAATACAAACTGCTGTAACGACGATTGTCGCGGAATATAAAGTTTAAAATTTATACTTTATATATATATATATATATATATATATATATATATATATATATATATATATATATATATATATATATATATATATATATATATATATATATATATATATATATATATATATATATATATATTTATATGGACTGCAGGGAGAGATGGGGGTCAAGAGAAACGCCCCCCCTGCTTTCCCCCAAAAAAATTTCATATTAAGCCAAAACTATTTTCGTTGCTTTCCGTTTATTTTTCACAAGTTTTGATAAATAATAAATAATAAAATTCCTAAAATTTGTCATAAATTGGGTATTTATTTTTTTCATAAAAAGCTACTATTCTAATTTTCAATTTTTTTATTTCTTAAACAGTTTTACAAACAGTACGAAAAAGCAATTTCTGAAAAAAAATGTGTCATTAATAGCAAATCTCTTTTAACTCCTTGGATGTCCATAGCCCTATTAAAATCTTCAAAAATGAAACAAAAACTGTATGATAAGTTCTTTAAAAAACGTATAAAAATGAGACAACATACAAAAATTATAAAAATCTATTTGAAAAAACCAAAAAACACTCTAAAAAAATATATTACGCAAAATTATTATAAAAAACAAAGGAAAACACGAAAAAACATGAAAAGTTCTTTCTTTAAAAAACATTCTTTTTTTTTTCTTCTAAAAATATTCTTCCAAAAAAACTTAGATGATTAATAAAAAGCTAGTTTATCAAAAATATTCTATTGCTGAGAATCTTGCCAGCTTCTTTGCCAATATTGAACTTAGAACTCAACAAGTTTTAATTTTTATTTAAAAAGATATAATACACAAAAAATCTTAAAAAAAAATCTGATATCTTGTATAAAAAACATTTCGGGTTCAAAAAAAAGCATTCAACCGAACATGCAGTAGTCAAGCTTGTAAACGAAATATCGGACGCCCTTAACAACGATTATTTTACATTAGGAGTTTTCATCGATCTGTCCAAAGCCTTTGATACAGTAAATCATTATATACTGCTAAGTAAACTTGAATACTTGGGCATTAGAAATAAAAATTTAATTTGATTTGAAAATTATTTAACAAACGAAAACAATTCATATGCTACGATTCAAAAGAAACAGTTAAAAACTCAATAACTTGTGAGGTTCCACAAGGTTCTATTCTAAGGCCATTGTTGTTTCTACTGTACACAAATGATCTTTATTTATCATCAAATCTTATAAATTTTATTCAATTTGCAGAAGACATTAATCTCTTTATTCACACAAAGATATTAATACACTTTTTAAACATGTTAATGAACAATTAGATAAAGTTAATGAGTGGTTTGTAAGTAAGAAACTTTCTCTGAATGCTGATAAAAACTAAATTTATTTTGTTCCAAAAATTGAATAATACTGATAACGTTCCATTAAAATTACCAAGTCTTATTATAAATAAAGCTTTAATTAAAAGAGAGTCATCGGTAAACTTTTTAGGCGTTGAATTGGATGAAAATTTAAGATGGAATTTTCATATAAATAGCCTTGAAAAAAAAATTTCTAGAAATATAGGAATGATTTATAGAGCTAAACCATTTCTTAATTTTAAATCACTAAAAGGTTTATACTTTGCTTTTATCCAAAGTTACCTATCATACTGTAATATCGCCTGAGTAAGTACTAATCATACAAAATTAAAAAAGCTTTACAGTAAACAAAAACATGCATGTCGAATTATATTTGGAGCAAATAGAGAAGAATTTGGAGCTTTAAATATTTATAAAATAAATTTACATTAAATTTTAGTTTTTATGTATAGAACTAAGCTAGGAATGTCGCTAAAAATATTTGAATCCTATTTTAGTGAAATCTGCCATAAATATAGCACAAGATTCTCAGTAAACAACTTTGCTGTCCCAAGATATACTCGAAAATTGAGTTCATACCCAAGATATACTCGAAAATTGAGTTCATACCCAAGATATACTCTAAAATTGAGTACTCAATTAAGTATCGTGGGCCGTATTTACGGAATTTATTTTCAGATATTACAAATAAAAAAAAACCCACTCTTGATCGATTTAAAAAAGAATCTAAACGGTTGTTCTTATTTATAGATCTCACTATGCTAGATTTTAAATGTTTTTTTTAAAATAAAGTAAAGTTTTAATAAAAAATCAAGATAACTTAAACAAAAAAAAGTCTTTAAAAAAAATGTTATTATCACAACCCACAATAACAAAGTTTGTTAATGATATTACTCTCTTAATATAAATATATGCATATATCTTTTTTTTTATTATTATTATTATTTTATTTTATTTTATTACAAGTAAATAATCGTTTTTTTTTTTTTTTTTTTTTTTGCAACTACAGCTGCATTCTTTTTTTTTTTGCAACTGCAGATAATGTAAGCATTTTAGCAATTACGCCAATATAATCTAATATTTATATATCACGATTTTATAAAAATGGGGCTCGGTGATAAGATAAGAATTATTTATTCTTCTTGCTCCAGCCATTACTTATTTTGTTGTATATATATGAAAATTGTATTTATTGTAGAAGACAAAATAAGTTTAAAAAAAAAAAAAGTTTAATAATCAATATAAAAATATATAAGTCAATAGATTAAGTTAAAAACCATAATATAAAAAGTATACGTACAATATGGATTAACAAAGAAATGATTAAAAATGTGGTATAAAATCAACACAAATATAGTGTATGGTATAGTTTGCAATGAATATTAGTTCCTTATTTTATTTATCTGCTGATTTTTTTAGGAATTATTAAACGATAATAGATGTTCAAAATATATTATAAATATAATATTTTAATAGCTTTGTATTTTACATCGATTTTAAATTTACTAAAATATGCATTTTTTTAAGTAATTTCATCTAGTTAAATATATGGAATATTTTATAAAAAGAAAATAAAAATGAATTTTTGAACTATTAATGACAGTTTAGGTAGCAAGTACGGTTATATAAAGAAAAAAAAAATGTTTTTGAGTATGTATTTATAGAAATAAAACAAAAATAGAGACACTAGTATTTTTGATAACATAAAATAGGTATTTTTTGGGAGCTTTAAAGTTGGCTTAAATTATTATATCTGCAACTGATTTATTTTTTTTAAATAATATATACATATTAGGATTAAATAAAGTCATCAAGTTCATGCATGCGACTTTAGTTTAAGGAAGAAGTAGAAACTGAAGAAAAAACTTTTATTTTATGCTAGTTTCAAACATAAATAACTTATGCAAATATACAATAATAAAAAATTATTAATATTTCAAATTAAACTCTATACTATAAAATTTGTTTTCAAAAAAAATTTATATAGTGCAACAGATTAGCATAATATTTGTGCAAAAGTGGATAAAAGCATGAAACTTTTTTCACACGTAGAAAATAAGTATACAATGCATTTAAGATACGGTGGCACGTTGAGTTAATTGGATCTCGTTCGTAAAAATCAAAATTGGATTTTGTGTTTATAAAAAAACGCAGACCAGATATATTTCAGCAAAAGTGCATATTATAAAATATTTATATAATTTTCTCTCTCTATATATATACAGGGGCGGATCTAGCATTTTTTGGTCGTTGAGACATTTTTCGGTCGCTAACTTCTAGATATGGAGCAAATTCCAAACATTTATATGTTTATACTTATGTCAAATAAGGATGCTTTGCAAAAAATTGCTAGGATTGGATGCTGGAAACAAAAAAGCCCCAAAATTTTTGCCCCTTGCCCCAAAAGTAAGTACAACAAATTGATTTAATATTTTTTGTACTATTCTCTACTAGACTTTTATTCATCAATAAATTTTAAATTTCCTAGTAAAATATTATAGCCTTCAAAAATTATGATCATATAAAGTTTAAACATTTTTTAAATAACTTTTTTATAAATTACGTTAATAAATTAACAGAAGAGAAACAGGAAACTTTAATACACCTTTCAAAAAAACAAAACTTTCTCAGTTCTCAATTTCATATCGGGGTCCTTATTTATACAACAAACTAGTAACTAAAAATAAATCAATTTGCAATCCAGATAATCAAAATTCTTTGAAAACAAAGTTAAAAAATCTGATACTGAATCTAAACAGATACTCTGAATTCTTCTAAGACTATAAATTAAATTACATATATTTAGCACTTACGGGGACAGATTTTACAATAAAACTAACACTTACGGGGACATTTGCGTTATCGGGGACATTTAGTGTACCCGTTAATT